CGACTAATGTTGACCGTAACTGATGTCTGTCTGTCCAAATTTTTATTTAATTAAAGTTTTTCTTTTCTTTTCAAATACAAATATAACTTGAAATTTAAATATAATCGCTTTTCAAAACTAAATTCATGATGTATCTTGCTTGCTTCTACTTTATTTCAAAATAGTAATTAAATCAATTTACAGAGAAATGTTTGCTTCTTTAATGTAAAGTTTAAAATTAAAACTTTATTTACTTAAAAAATCTAAATTCCTCTCCAAAATAAATAATAATTATTTTTCTAAGAAGTACGCTCGTTATGGTTTTTGCTTGAAAAATGGTTAAATTAAATGCTTAAATATATTTTAATTTAAGCTTATTTACTTTTTTATTATTAATAATTTGAAAAAAGGCTAATGAACTTTTATCTACGTTTGATTTGTTTGAAAACAATATTAACAGAATATTTATGTTAGTATTTAAATCGAAAAATAAAGTGTTTTTTTAATAAAAATATGGTGATACTCAGCCTCTTAAGTCCCCCACCCTCGCCCCGAGTATAGTATTGATAGTGTGGTATTTTCCTAAATTTAGTTATTTTGTAACAAACCAAAAAAAAAAAAACCAAAAAAAAAAAAACAATGAAGTTTAGTTTTTAAAGATTGAATAACAAATTATTTTCCATAAGATGGCTGAAAAATATCAATAAATTCTCAATATTATTGATTATTCAGAGATCTTCCGAGCAACGCCGGGTATCCCTACTAGTATAATCTAAAAGGCTGAAATTAATACAGAATTTTAAAATATTTAAACCTTAATAAATTTGTCGAAATGAAAACAATTCCTGTAAAGATTAATTATTCATCAAAACGTTTTTTTCTCAAGACAGTAGTGTCCTTAATATATTTTATTTATAAAACACAATTAAAAGGTTTTCTAATTAAATTATGTTATAGTTTTATTGCATTTTATTTTGCAATTCAGAACACATTTTCTGTAAATGGTGTTGCTGTTTGATAAAAACAAATTGATGATTTAAATTCGCCAAGGAGTCCTGCTTTTAACTAATATAAAGACGAAGAGGCTGAAATTTTAATTTCTCGACATTTCATAAAATTAAGTAAGTCAGGGTAACAGATGTAAAAAAAAATACCAAGATTTTATATTTAAAAAATAATAATAATTTAATTCATTAGCGAATAAGACATGAAAATTTTATTAAATTCGACAATTATTTGATTTTTACAAGAATTTCCAAATCAATGTGTTTTTTCTGCAAAAAAGACGCTAAATTTCGTAATTTTTCTTTGGCCGAGCCACTGACGCAAGAAAACCAAATTTTTTAACCAAACTTTCAAACGTGCTAGAAAGGATTAAAATTTTAATCAAGTAATAAAAAAAGACGTTGGTCTTTCCTCTTTATAATAACATAAACATTTTGACGATAAAACTGTTTTTTATCAAGTCTGGGGCTTTTTTCATTATGGCATGCATTTTTAGAAAATGTTTGTAGGTACCATATTAAACATTAATTTGCAGAGGATTTCATTTTAAAATAATAATATTTGCTCTCTTATAATTTGGAAGAGTCATGATCGCCTACGTCCTGAAAGGGCACAGCAAATAAAAGAAATGAATGGATGACAAAATAGGGACAAAGAGGGATTGTAAAGCGTCAAATGTTACTGAGATTAATAAAGGACAGGAAGTCGTTGATTGCTTACTTCCTGAAGAGAAACGGCACATAAAAAAGTGAATGCATGGCAGAATAGCGACAAAGAAGGTTTGTAAAGTGCTAAAAAACAGGAAGTTGTGGAGAGCTATGATCGCTTACTTCCTGACGAGACATAAAAGAAGTGAATAAATAGCTAAATAGGAATAACTCGAAAGGGTGCTTCTGCATCTTTTCATAGAACGGTGTATGCATGAATGGATTTTTAACTGAGTAAGGTCTTACAAGCATTCAGTCCTCCAGGATCTGGTATTATGTGACATCCAGTATAGCTACATTGAAATAATTTTCTTATGCTTCACGGTATGTGTGCGCTCAACTGATTTGAATTCAGAGTTTTTGAACTGCTGGACTAGCTGTCACCCAAGTCGAGAGAACCTTGTATTCCATTCTATTTAATCCACAACTGGGAAGGTGGACGTTTTTATTTATCCGTTTCGGAAGTGAATTTAATAGTCTCAATAATGACAATAACCAACGCTGATACCACATCTATTATTTGTGTGTATGTACGTTGGCATGTGTTTATCTCTCTCTGTGTGTGTGTGTGTGTGTGCGCGCATATGCGCGTGCGTGTGTGTGATAGTGCGACTTGGCAAACGAAAGTTTAGCAACATTACCTACAAATATTGCAGAAATTCCCATATCACTTACGAGTGACATGTACAATTGAACTCTCTCTTCAAAAAGGAAAAAATAAAAGTAAAATTTACGAGCATGCAGAAAATACTTAAAATATATTTTAAATATTTAGTTAAAATCTGGACACACTTTCAAATAAATTTAATTGAATATTGTAAATCGCTGTGTATTTACAATAGAGTGTACTTAGAATCAGAAAGTGACAATGAAATTTCTCGGGACCATAATGAGGAAAGATGGCTTGAAAAATTTAACATTCACAGTAGGGCTTGTTGAAGACAAGACGGACAGAGGAAAGCAACGAATAACCAACATAACGAGTTTCTGAAAATGGTTGACAGAACAGTGATTAGGAGAGATAGCAAAAAGATAAACATTGCTTAACAAGGGACAGTAAGTTGAGGAGAATCATGTTTGCCCACGTCCTGAAGGGACACAACAATAAAAGAAGAATTCCTGATGAATAAAAGAAAAGACAAAATTTAATCTTTCTTTTAGTTTTATATTTCATAAGTTACGTAGATAAATTCGTTTTCTTTTCAACTCTTACTAGCAGCATGGCCCGGCGTTGCCCGTGCTTGATTCAAAATCGTACAGCAATCGCTACCACTTGACTTAAAATATTTTTGCCCTTCCTTGCCTTTAAAGGAGTGCTCTTTGCCGTGCTGATGTTTCTACATGCCTTACTTCTTGCCTATCTCACACTGCGAATTTTTTCTAAGCTCTATACTAAACATTAAATCTGTCACGAAAAAAAGAACTAAACAAAATGAACACAAAACGATCAGCTTTAAAAAAGGATTCGTAACTCGAAAAACCGAATGAAAAAAGAATGTAAACAACAAATACTTTTTCACTCCCAACCCAATTCTGCGGAATCAGAATCAACGTTGAGTTTAAGCAAGCGAATGAGCCAATTGGAGTAAAGTGCCAGGCAGATTTAAATTTTTCCCACTTGTGACGAATGCCGCTATCGATGTTTTTTGCATGCAAGCATGCTAGTTAACATTCGTTTCAGTCAGCTGTTGGCTCTCACGCTGGCCAATAGAATCTTCCTGCCTATTCGTGGCAGCCAACTATAGGCTCTCACTCTGACCAGTAGAAAATGGCCGCAAACTACATGAAAAGTGTCGTAGAAGCATGAAAAAATCGATTATTTCCACTATCGATGGAAGTTGGGAAATGCAAAGTTGGTCTTGGCCTTCCCGCTAACATTGATTTGTTTAATCCAGTTTCCTCATTTTTGTTGTGTTGATAGTCATTCTTTTCTTTTTTTTTTTGTAATGCTTGCTTTTTTTTTTCAAATGTTTATTTCACTTTTCATCTTAGTTCGTCTGCAATTTAAGGATCTTCCCAGTGCGTTACTGAATGCGACGGATATTTGAAAACATTCGGAGGGAATAGCAGCTGAATTGTTGCATTAAAGACAACAAAAACTAGGCATCTTGTACAAAAGAATAATAGAAATTCAGAAAAAAGATGAGATGTTTAGATTGTGGCACAAAAGAAAAACGAAAAACAGATATTATCATTCAATTGCAGTTTGTTTTTTAACATTTCACCCCAAGCAAGGCAATAATGCCACTAAGACGCAAAGGATTACTGACAGTGAAAGAACTGAGAAGATTTTAGTGAGCAGAAAGGACAGAAAGACAACAGAATTCAGGAAGACAGAAAATGGCGATTGGTTTTGCATTTAACTTTTTTAAGATGACAGGGAAGCAAGAAACCGGAAGAGAATTTCATAAGCGAGAAGTGCGAAAGAAAATAACTATTAGAATATAACTTACGGTTGCTAGTTCAACGGTAAAACGGCGAGGTCTAGTTGCCAATCTAGTAGTACGCTTAAATTCATGCAGTCGAGTTACTAAGTGTGAAAGCTCATCAGAAAAATTCCTATGAAAATAATTATAGAAAAGGCAGAGGGAAGCCACCTGAAGGCGGTGGGAAATTGACTGAAGTCGTGTTGACAAGTTAGGATCGATTATATTACAGACCCTTCTTTGGATTTTGTCAAGAATCTCGAGATGTAAAGCAGGTACACCGGACCAGATATGGCAGTAGTATTCAATGTACAGGCGAATGATAGATCTATAAATGAGCAACATAGATTCTGACGAGAAAAACTGTTTGACACGACACAGTGAACCAACATTTCTAGCAGTAGATCGAACAATTGCTTCAATATAATCACTCCATTTCATGTCAGGGGAAAGTGTAAAACGAAGAAGACGCAAAGAGTTTCTCTCCTGGGGATTAGCATTGACCATATTGATAGAAGGTCGAACAGGTTGTGTTCTATGCTGATTAAATGAAAGCAGTTTTGTTTTGGAGCCGTTAAAATTTACAAGCCATTCTTTGCGCCAGTTAACCACTGATTAGAGGTCCTTTTTGAGAGCAGCTGCCAGTTTTACGCCGTTGGACCTGTCGAACTTGCTACTAAGACAGGAGTAAATAGTTGTGTCATTAGCATAAATACCTAGATAAGAACTGATGACATCAGGAAGGTCGCTGATGAAGATAAGAAACAACGTAGTTCCAAGTATAGAGCCCCGTAAGACCCTCGTATGCAATGCTTTAAAACTCTCCTAATTCTTATGCTTGCATAATAATGTTTTTCTTTTTTCTTTCTTTTTTTGGTTTCAGATGCTGAATTTCCATTGGCCACGTGCCAGCCAAGGATTCAGCTGGACCGTCTGCATCCTTCTGCTTTCCTCTTATAATGTTCTGTCCCAAAATTCTGAGCCGTCGAATGACACAGAATCTGAATCTGGAATCCCAGGTAAGTTTCAACTCTGAAACAGCAAAACTATACCAGTCTTTTAATTATACCATACTGAATAAAATGTATTTCTTTTTACTTTTTCTGATGTTAATTTGAATTTTTTTCACTTTTCAAGAAAATATGACACCGGAACACTAAGGAAAATACAACGCGTCAAACATCACAGATTTAACAGTTTGCTGATGATACGATGACAATAATGTCATCGGAGATTGCTTAACAAAACAATAAGTGTAGGGTTATTTGAGAAAGACGGGAATTATGATTTTGTAAATCTAAATGTTGTGATTTTAAATTCCATTTTAATAATTGAATCAATTTCCGCTGTGTTCACGTTTAGAGAAAATAACAATTCGCATAAAACACTATTCACTGGACCTAAGCGATATTCTGCAATCATTTTTGATCCTTGTTCAAGATGATTTTGGTTAGTCAATAAAGCTTATAATAATAGTTTAAATTATGAAGCTTATAATAATAGTTTAAATTATAAATACATTACTTATTTCTCTTGGCAATAAATCATTTGTGTCCATATAAATCATGTGTGTCCATAGAAAGGAATATATTCATGGCGCTCTAAAAAATAAAATTAAATAAAATTTATAATATTGTTTAGAATTTTATTTTATTTGGAAGTGACTTAGTACTATCATGTTTTGTTAATTTTTTTTATATGCACTTTTTTACACCTCCCTCACCCTGCACCAGCCTCGAGGAGTTAGGGAAATAACAAATATATATTTTTATTTTAAATTCAAATTTCTGGTTTTCAGCTCTGAAACTTTTTGACTCTTCGATCGAAACTGAATATTTTTCGTCTCTTACTATTAACTTGGGAAAGTCAAGCCAAGAGTTACTTTGAATTTAAAAAATAAATATTTTAACTTTAATATATATATATATATATGTGTGTGTGTGTGTGTGTGTGTGTGTATGAAATCTATTATCGAAAGATCGGTGACTAAGCCTCTATCACAACCCACTCCAATTTCTTGCAAGATCGCAACCTGTAGGGTGAAAAATAAGACCTATGAAAGAGCTAAAGAACTCTTGATGTATCAACGATCAGCTAAATAGCGGTAGTGTCTCAATAAAAATCACTGCGGAAAAGGTAACGGGGAACCACTTCATTATCAATCCCAAGAAAATCATGAATCTTAACAATAATATTATAAATGATAAGGACGTGAATGAGATTGGATGTGCAATCCAGCGACTGCTAGCAAAAACAAGTGCATAAAAGTGGTTAAACATCTTGAAATTGATCCTGCACTCGGTTAGGGAACACATGAGTCACTGGACGGTCATCCAATGACTGTTTGAAACAAACAAAAAATAGTTCACGGAACATGGGATATCAGAAGACTAAATCATTGTGACCAGTTGGAAAATATAAAGCAGGAAATGACTAGGTTAAATGTTAATATTTTAGGCGTATGTGAAACTAGATGAGCAAATAATTAACATTCCCTCAATGACAAATACTAGGTTATATATGCAGGCAGAAGTAAAAATGAAACGAGAGTAGGACTAATGTCAGACATGAAGAAATGTATTCTGGGACACTATCAATTATCTGAATGAGTTCTTGTAGCTAAACTGAAAGGGAAGCCTTTCAACATGGTTGAAAGGCTTCCCTTTCAACCATGGTTGCGTATTGAAAGATTTTTCTGTACACTAGACAACGCCAAAGTACAATATAAATCGTAAGAAATTACAATAATCATGGGAGATCTGAATGATAAAATAGGCAAAGAGAGAATTAGCGAAATAGCTGGCAAATTTGAACTAGGAACTAGATATGAAAGCATATATATATATATATATATATATATATATATATATATATATATATATATAATGATGCTCACCCTGTACAAGGCCCAAAGTTGAGGGTTACAGAGTAAGAGGCACCAATCCAAGCACAGGGATAATGCCACCAAGAGGCCACCGGAATTGAAAGATGGAAATATTTTAGGTCAAACCGGAAAACCTAAAATCCTAAACAAGAAAAAAGCATCTACTTGTGTTTAAAAAAAAAAATAAGAAACGGAGAATAGAGTGAAATGAAAACGAACTTATGTGGAAGTGGAGAAACCCAGGAGGAGAAACAAAAAAGCGACTACATAACTATTATTAAGAGATCCATGAAGGCAATTTCACTCTACCAAACATACCCAAGTACTGACTGCATGAACGACTACCTTCCAGTAATATGTAAACTTACAGTGAAACTACGACAGTTGAAGGGGGCGATGCAACACCCAAATTCAACACGATAAACTCCTGAATAACCTGAATGTGAAGGATAAATAAATGGACAGTGTTAAAGGCAGATACAATGAACGAAATATGAATGGAAATTTGAAGTAGGACACATTAAGAAAAGCTTGGTAACATCAGCAAACGGGACGCTTCCAAAAAAAACAAGACAAAGAAAATAGGAATGGATGAAATATGAAATGTTCGACATTATGAACAGGAGAGAAAAAAATGCCTAGGTACGGAAATTTTACAGAAATAGAAATAAACAGTATTACAGATAAAGCAGATATGCATAAAATAAGAAAACTAACAGGACAAAAGACATGCTCATCAACAGAATGCATAGAATCCAAGGACAGGTCATTGATATTCGAGAAAGAAAAATACTTCAAAGATGGAGTAGATACATTGGTGAACACTTCCGCGACGAAAGAGGACAACCGGCAATACACAAAACTACTGAAAGAGCAGAAATCTGAAAATCTGAAGGAGAATCAGCATTGGCCAGATGGAATAGAAGTAAATCAGTAGGGCCAGATGGAATAGAAGCAAAGCAACAGGGCCAGTTGGAATAGAAGCAAAGCAGCAGGGCCAGATGGAATAGAAGCAAATCAGTAGGGCCAGTTGGAATAGAAGCAAAGCAGCAGGGCCAGATGGAATAGAAGCAAATCAGTAGGGCCAGTTGGAATAGAAACAAATCAGTAGGGCCAGATGGAATAGAAGCAAAGCAGCAGGGCCAGATGGAATAGAAGCAAATCAGTAGGGCCAGTTGGAATAGAAGCAAATCAGTAGGGCCAGATGGAATAGAAGCAAAGCAGCAGGGCCAGATGGAATAGAAGCAAATCAGTAGGGCCAGTTGGAATAGAAGCAAAGCAGCAGGGCCAGATGGAATAGAAGCAAAGCAGCAGGGCCAGATGGAATAGAAGCAAATCAGTAGGGCCAGTTGGAATAGAAGCAAATCAGTAGGGCCAGATGGAATAGAAGCAAAGCAGCAGGGCCAGATGGAATAGAAGCAAATCAGCAGGGCCAGATGGAATAGAAGCAAAGCAGCAGGGCCAGTTGGAATAGAAGCAAATCAGTAGGGCCAGTTGGAATAGAAGCAAATCAGTAGGGCCAGTTGGAATAGAAGCAAATCAGTAGGGCCAGATGGAATAGTAGCAAAGCAGCAGGGCCAGATGGAATAGAAGCAAATCAGTAGGGCCAGTTGGAATAGAAGCAAATCAGTAGGGCCAGATGGAATAGAAGCAAAGCAGCAGGGCCAGATGGAATAGAAGCAAATCAGCAGGGCCAGATGGAATAGAAGCAAAGCAGCAGGGCCAGTTGGAATAGAAGCAAATCAGTAGGGCCAGATGGAATAGAAGCAAAGCAGCAGGGCCAGATGGAATAGAAGCAAATCAGTAGGGCCAGATGGAATAGAAACAAATCAGTAGGGCCAGATGGAATAGAAGCAAAGCAGCAGGGCCAGATGGAATAGAAGCAAATCAGTAGGGCCAGATGGAATAGAAGCAAAGCAGCAGGGCCAGATGGAATAGAAGCAAATCAGCAGGGCCAGATGGAATAGAATCAAAGCAGCAGGGCCAGATGGAATAGAAGCAAAGCAGCAGGGCCAGTTGGAATAGAAGCAAAGCAGCAGGGCCAGATGGAATAGAAGCAAATCAGCAGGGCCAGATGGAATAGAAGCAAAGCAGCAGGGCCAGTTGGAATAGAAGCAAAGCAGCAGGGCCAGATGGAATAGAAGCAAATCAGCAGGGCCAGATGGAATAGAAGCAAAGCAGCAGGGCCAGATGGAATAGAAGCAAATCAGTAGGGCCAGATGGAATAGAAGCAAATCAGTAGGGCCAGTTGGAATAGAAGCAAAGCAGCAGGGCCAGATGGAATAGAAGCAAATCAGTAGGGTCAGATGGAATTGCAATAGGGTTGTTGGCGGCTTTAGATAATTTCAGTACTGACATGATTACAGAAATAATAAATTAAATAAACACTAGTAATGATTTACAGGAAGACATAAACAGATCCATTTTCAGAGCACTGTCAGGTAGAAATGAATGTGAACTCCATTGGACAATCAGACTAATGAGCTTTATAACAAAAAATTATCATCCGAAGTCTGATGAATAGAGCGCACAGCAGAATTATACCAAAAAATAGGAAAAGAACAATGCGGGTTCGTTAAAAATAAAGTATAAAAGATACAAGTTATTACATATCTATGCCCATAATGATATAAGAAAGATCAATACAAATGCAAAAGGATTATATCTATGTTTTATAGAGTAGGCAAAAGCGTTTGATAAAGTACGTCACGAAAAACTGTTGGAACTACTGGGTAAACTTGACATATTTGGACAAGATATTAAAACAATCCAGAATCTATTCTTTTCTTTTAATGTGTCATGTCCTTTAAGGCGTAGAAAATCATGGCTCTTCACCTCTCTCTATCGCTTGCTGCTCTTAGAAAGTTCCTTCGCTCTGCTTCCTCCTCTAGACTGTTCTGTTATCCACCTGCTCAAGCTCACCAGGTGTGTCACGCTGTTTTCCTTGTCTCTCCTTTCCTCTATTCGACTCGGAAGCATCAGATTCTCCCAGCTCCTTCCTCATAATCTGTCCCAGAAACCTCAGCTGCCTCTTCCTGATGTTAAGTATAAGCCTTCTCTTTGTTTCCAACCTATCTAATAACTCAACGTATCTCACACGCTCGGTCCATGATAACCTTAGTATCATTCTGTAGAACCACATCTCCGTCAGCTCGAGTCTCTTCTTCATCTTTGAAGAAATCGTCCAAGATTCACTGCCGTAAAGAAGGACAGATGTCACGTAACAGCTCAGTATTTTTTCTTTGTTACCAAAGAAATCCTCATATTTCGGAATACTCTGATCAGCTTTTTGGAATGTGTCCTTGGCCATCCTAATACGTCTAAGGATCTCAGTGTTGCACTTACCGTCTTCGTCCAGATATTTAAACTTCTGCTTGATTCTAGTGTTCCCGACCTGCAAATCGCATTTCGGGCTCTTTTCTCTTACTGATGACCATGCATTTTGTCATCTTGTATTTTATGCTTAGTCTTTTCTTCTCACTCTCCGTCATTACCTTCTGAAGGAGATTTTGTAATTTCTCTTCCATGTCTTCTATTAGTACTGTGTCGTCTGCGTATCTTATGTTGTTATGGTTGTGACTGCCAATGCTAAATCCCGGTAGGATTTCCAATTCTCTCAGAATTGCCTCGCTGTATAGGTTGAACAGGTCGGGTGAGAAGACGCATCCTTGCCTTACGCCCCTTTCTATTTTTGTATAGTCACTGAACTCATTCCCTATGCGTGTACATGCTGTTTGCTGCCAGTGTAGATTATTGATTATTCTGATATCTTTCCTGAATATATCAAGGTCGCTCAGCAGTTCCATCAGATCCTTGTGGCCTACTTTGTCGAAGGCCTTTATGTAGTCTATGAAACATAGATACACGTCCTTCTGCATCTGTGTCGCTCTTTCTGATAACATTCTGACCATGAATATCGCGTTCCTTGTTCCACTGTCTTTAACGAACCTGCACTGTTCTTGTCCTATCTTTGGTCTGCGCGCTCTATTCAACAGAATACTGATGATGAGTTTTGTCATGTGGCTCATTAGGCTTATTATTCGGTGGAGTTCGCAATCGTTTGCGCCTGTTTTTTTAGGCATAGCTATGAATATAGATCTGCTGAGGTCTTCAGGTATATCCCCGCTGTTTTAGATTTCATATAGAAATTAAATTCAGTAAATATACAAATATAGAAAGGGGTGTAAGATAAAAATGGCGGCCATAATCTTCATAGCATAAGATATGCAGATGACACAGTGTTGATAGCAGACATAAAAAGGAAACTACACGAACACCTACAGAAACGTATTAAGAAACAGAACATTCTCGTTAAAAAAAAAAGAGTACTGCAATATCAGTCGTCCTAGAAGTGAATGCTGGGCCATCTCATCATAGATGAAGAAGAAACTTGAGGTGATAGAAATGCAGTTATACAGAAGGATACTGAGAATACTATGAACTGAACATATAAACAACGACAAAGTTTTGGAGAAAATGGCAACAGAAAGTACATTCACACTAGAGGACTTGCAAAAATTGACAAAGGACTTGAATGCAAAAGAGACAGAGGAAAACAGTGTATAACCCCCCTGCCTAACGGGCTTGTGTAAACGGATAACTGAGTAGGGTTCGGGAGAAATAAAGACAAAATTTACTAAGAGCTACAAAGGACATGAAATTATGGAGAGCCATGATTGCCAACGTCCGGAAATTACACGGTACACAGAAGGATTCGATCTTATTTATTACAGTTTATATCTATCTATCTATCTATCTATCTATTTTTTTCATATATATTTTTCGTGTTTTCTCTTTATATATATATATATATATATATATATATATATATATAAAGAGGCGGGAAATAAAATTTCAACACACTGAAGAAAAAAAGGGATTTTTATCGTGAGTTACTATGTGAATGTTGGAGTATTACATCTGATGAAATTATCAAAATTCTTCGGCCATCTTGTGATTTATTAAAACTCATACGAGTTCACTATCAAAAGGTGAGCTTTAAACAGTGAAGTATACTGCAATAACGTTCAGTGTGGTGAAAGTGCAAGCAGGCGTCATGTTACAGAGACGCGTATATATAAGCCTTTTTCTAGTTAATGAGAAGTAGGATTGTGAGCTTCCAAAAAACAGGATGCTCATTTCAGATAATTGTTGCACATATTTGACGTGATATGTCGGTATTGCTTAGGGGTTGGTCAAATAAACATTTCAAGATTCCTTGACCAGGTACCAGGAAGCCACGTAGTACAGATAGTCGCCAAAACCGACGGATTTTAAGGGCTGCAGTGGCAGTCCGTACGGTATCCACAGATCATAGCAAATATAGCCCCAAGAGTATCAATACGAATGGTTATTTACACGCAGCAGGACTATGATCGCAGGCGCCTTTAACCAAACTTTCACTTTAGCCACTACACTTTTCTAATTATGTCGCAAGAGATTCACGTGAAGGACTGAATAGTGGCCTGTAGTTTTCGGTAATGTGAATGTTCTGTCTTTGTACAACTGTTTGTCGTTTGTGTGTGGGACGTAAATCTGGGTACCGGAACTTTTCAGAGTATATTCACCCATAAAACATAAGTTTAACTACTGACATCATGGTGGTGGGTGCCATGAGTTTCAAATCATGGTCACCTTTGGTATTTGCGGCGGGAACTTTGAACTGTGTAAGTCCAGTACAATTTTAAATTCGTTCTGCTGTCATTCATGCAAAGTACTTGTGAATGTTTTACATATTCGTTGTTTTTATAAAACAGAAAACCATTTCTTTCATGACGTGCATGTGTATGTAGACGCTTGCATGTAAGTGTGCATGAATAAATGACTCCTAACCAATGGGCAAGTGAATTTTGGTTATCTCCTACAACAGTTTTGATGTTCTAACCCTTATGCTAAACCAGCAAATATTGAAACAGCGTTCTTGTTGACACAAGTTTTTGTTTTTGTTTTTTAAGCTTATGGAAGTGTTCAACTCGTCAATGGAACAAAATATGCAGGAAGAGTTGAAGTTTTCTATGACGGCGCATGGGGAACCATCTGCGGTGGTGATACTTGGGGGGAAAATGAAGCTAAGGTTGTTTGCAAGAGTTTGGGATTCGGGTAAGTACTTTCCTGCTTTATTGACATTTTTATTTTCATTCAAATTCTGAATAAAATCTATAATTAATAGATTATTAACCAAATACACTTGAGGTTACTGACAAATTTGAAAGTATACTCCTAATAAAAAATATTTGTAAGTTTGTTCTTGATTAATTCAATTGTTTTCGTCACCTATTAGCGGTAATATTTTTGACCTAGAGGAATTGTTAATTTTCTAAACAAATATAGTTATACAAATCTCCCTTAAAATCCAACATCACCAATTATTATAGAATAACTGATATAAAAATAGTGGAAAATAATTGAATCTCCAAAAAATAAGATTGATAACTTTCATTTCTTTTTTGTGAAAAGTTAAAAGTGTACCTGTTGCGGGGCCAACGAGAACGTTAAACCCGCAAGTAAAATGTATGGAAAAAAAATGGAACTTACAACACAAGACAAGAATGACAGAAAGCAAAGATTAAGTTATATGTCAAATAATTTCATTTCGGCACGACAATGAATACAAATCCTGAGTGTTGTTGGAGATGAAAAAAAAGTTCGTCTCTGGATCAGACAGGCTGGTAATCCGGTTGAATGAAAGCAGAGTTGCTGGCTGTTCGTGGGTCCGCTGGTGATGCTGAGGACGAAGGCTGATGCTGGTCTCGCGGATCCGATGGTGATGATGAGGACGAAGACTGTGGTAGCTGCGACGACGACAGCTACGGCTGCTGCTGCTGTTACTGCTACTGCTGGTGTAGATGACTGTAGCGACGACGACGGCTGCTGCTACTGCTACTGCTGCTACTAATACTGCTATTGCTGCTACTGCTGCTACTGCTGGTGAAGATGATGACTGTGATGGTTTCGACGACGACGTCTATTGGCTACTGCTACTACTACTGCAGCTAGTGAAGATGACGACTGTAATGACTGCAACGGCTACGACTGCTGTTGCTGGCGGGGGCAGGGAGCGGGAGCGCATCTATTTATTTTGTATGAAAAATTGTGGCACAAGGCCAAAGGGGGAAAAGGGAGGGGATGGTCTTCCTTAGCTGTCCTAAACCAACTCGCGACCCATTCATTCATTATAATTTACACATTTACCACAAGAATTTATCCTGCACCTCCAATCCTATATACACCAAAATACCACATACTCGCAGCGGGACCTACAAAACACCCCATGACATAAAAATTTAAAAGTCCATAATTATATATAAATAAAAATCTCATGATTCCTAAAATGATGGGGGAGGGGAGATGAACCCTGAAAACAAACTCAAAAATAAAACAAAGGATGCAACAGAAACAAGACAATGTTAGTAGGAACCGTTCACCCCTCAAAATAATAAGAGAGGCCACTGTATTTTGCCACTAGACATAATCATGCAGCACACTCACTAATGGAATGAGTAGGGTAAAATAAATAACGGAATGAGAAAATCTAAAGCTGACTCAGTCGAGATAAAACAGGGGACCAGAAAAAACTGGGGAGGTTTGGAATCTCGACATGGGTCATAACAAAAGAGAGTGCCGGGAACAAGTCTGGAATAACAGAAGAGAAAATCAAGGTTAGTTCCGTCCACACGAACCAGGCTCGCCTCAGTCACCCACCTTTCGCTGAAATCTGTCGAAATCAAACGCTTATGATCAGATCATATTTTACCCTAAGCTGGTGCATAAAGAAAACTACCAGATCCTGATACAAATAACGTTTATTTCGCAAGATTCCCTCCTTTCGCTACGTCCATGCCACCATTCTAGCCAAGGCTAGCAACGTGAAAAACACCATCAATTTTACCCCGGCGAACGCACGCATATGCGAGATCAATGGACACGAGCTGCTTAGGAGCGATACGAGCCGTAAACTCGCTGACATACTCCCAGAAGAGGCGCACCCGAGGACAATTGTAGAAAGTGTGTACAGACGTTTCTTCTAAACCAAGGTCACACCGATGACAGTCTGGCAAATCTGCCTCGCCCCATCTGAAGAGTACGTCATTGAGAGGTAGCACTTTCCGAATCAATCGCCAGCTAAGCGAAAATTCAGAGTTACTGAGGTAATCCGCTGCTGGGGCCCAGAAGCACAAAGAGCGCAACTCTCCGGTCACACATAGGATCCTTCGCGACCACTTCTAATTCATGATACAATAGTCTCCAATGCCGAGAAAGGTCACTGGACCGAGGAATGGCCCTCAAGACCGATCGACACTCGCTGAGGAAACTCGATAACCTTCCACAATTGCGCAGCGCTTACCCCAAGAAATGGGAGGAGTGATGGTAAGGCTAGGAAGGTTGTCCCTAACTCTCGGCGCCAAAACCGAGTCCTCAGTCAAAATGCATCATAGAAAAGCCAACCTAGAGGCATGGCGATGATTCGCCAGGTGTGGCAATCCCAGCCCCCCATGACAAAGACACTGGTAACGTGGCACACGCCTCACCTCTACCCTTTAAGGACAACTTCCTTCAGAGCCAAGTTTCGACCGACTCTCCGATGTTTGCCTGTACTTCTGACCAATTCTTCTTCAGCTGGAGTCCGAGCCTGAACCACACTTCAAGAATGCAGACGGGTCCATCAGTCCAACCAAAGGGACCCGGAAGCGCGACCCTCTTCCAGGCACCTAATCGCAAGCCGGAAGACATGTTACGGTTAATCTTGGCCCCTGTCATTTCGTACCGTTCAAGCGCCTTCTGTACCACCTCAATATCGCGACGGCACGTCACGAAAATGAATACGTCATCGGCGTACGCAGAAACCCTGGCTCGAGTTCTACCAGGGAAAACAGCATTTCCGCGTAGGGCCGGATTGCACGCCCTGTCCCTCAGCCGACAAAGCATAAATTAGGGGTGACAGTGGACAACCCTGTCGGACCGACCGTGACAGCGCAAAAACTCTCACCCGCTTCCCGTTCACCTGTACCACAACACTGGGGAGCGATACAGGAGGCCGGGTTTGAATCCGGCGACATGCAGAACAGCAGCCAGGTAATGATGGGCTACCCTGTCAAATGCCTTGGACTGATCCAAATTGATCAGCGCGGCCTGACTGTCGTCTTTTACTCCTTCTATGATCGTGCGGATCAGATGCAGGTTGCTTTGAATTGTTCGTCCCCTCACAAGTCTGCTCGGGTCCCAACAAGCTCGTGAAAACTGACTGCAAACGCTCTGTCAAGATCTTTGTCAAAATCTTTAATTCTGTGTTTAGCAGAGTCATGGGCCTATAATAATTGAAATCCGTCCCAACACCCTTGCCCTTTTTCAACAGCGTGATCACACCTCTGGAAATCCGGTCGGGGATGCCCCCCTTCCGGAACCAGTTGTTGAACACCACTGTCAAAATCGGGACAAAATTGTGCGACAGCCTGATATACATTTCGTAGGGCAGACCATCTAATCCAGGTAACTTGCCTCTGCCGACCTTCTTCAGTGCCAAGTAAACTTCGCCCTCTGTGATCTCACCCTCGCAGTTAGCCGCTTCAATCGGCGAAAGACGAGGAAAGTCAGCCAATAGCTGCAAAACTCGTCGCCACTGAGACCAGGCTCCTTGGTAAAACGGTTCTCAAAATGCTGCCGAAACGCCTCGCACATATCCCTGGTCGACCTCAGAGTAAAGCCCTCCGTGGTAGTCACCTCACGAATGTATCGATTGGAACCTCGAAGGATCTCTTCTTTGCGCAATTCTGCGCCCATGTTCACGGCTTTGTTAGACATCTTGTTTAACCTATGTATAAGTATCTGACCCTGATAGCGCTTGCTAGCGTCACGCTTCAGGGCCTGCCTAGCTACGGCTATCTTTAGGGAATCCCCCTCCCGAACTACCGCCCGGGACAGACTATCCTCCAGAGCCTTCACCTTTTTAACGTTATATAGGGCGAGTCGTTGGCTATATTCTTAAGCCTCTCTCACTACCTACTTCCAATAACCGCCCCCACTTATTCCCTATGCACTAATCTAGTCAGCTATTGTTGAAAGTCCCGCCTGTCCAGTAAGGACAGATTGAACTTCCAGTGTCCAGCCATTCTAGGCCTATTGTCATAACACCATCCAGGCACAGACGAATCTATGATCCGAATAGTCTAAACGGCAGAACGTGGGACAATCTTGTAAACCTAGGTGGACTTTTCTGATTAACGTTCTATCCACCTGGCTACCTGGAGAGACGGCCAATTACGAGCCTACGTCCACATCTCCCACCCCGGATTATCGACGAGCGCAGTCACATACACAATAAAGCACAGCACAAAAACAATTACAATGTCACACTTACTGTCAATCAATCCAATGTGCAGAGTAAACTTTCCCGACTTTTGATATCAGTCATATTGATTTACATTTAAACTCAAGAACTGAATGATTCAAATATTTTACAAATATATGCATATGACCCAGTGAATAACGCCTGCTACAGAAAAAAACACTATTTCTCTCAGTTTGTAAGAGTCCAGGTTGTCATTTTGTGTACACTAAATGAAACCTGCATTTTAGAGCAAATGTACTCGCTACTACTTTAGAATTGATAAGGTAATTGACAAAGTAACTGAGTGTCGAGCTCGAAAATATTTTCCTTCTTTTTACTTCAGTCACAGGAAGTCTTATGTGGTTATCCAATTGTCGCTGGTTTGTTATTGTAGAAATATGTAAATTTATTCGGTGAATATCGTGAGCTACAGAAAAACCAAGAATTTCCTCTATTTTGTAAACCTATCATATTTGTTCATAGTGGCAATGGACGTACACCCGAAAAGAAACGTCCACTTTAGAGTCAATACAATCGATAAAAGTTAAATTTTCACAAAAACAAAATCATTGCCAGAAACCAACGTCAGATTCACTTAAAGCAGATAAAACTTTCTCTAAAAAATTTCCGTTGTATATTTCGTTTACCTTCACTCCTGCTACTATAAATAGATAAATACCAATAATTTTCCACAATCTTTAAAAGCGGACAGTGACCTAGTTGATGAAAAACTTGCGTACATACCTCTGAAATATATTTAGAAAAAGTTGCCCAAAAAAGGATTTTATATATCCCTCTGATCCTCTAGAAAATGAATATCTTTCAAATGTTTCATATTCTTCTATGCTATTCGCCCATTTATTCGTATTTACCGTATATACTTGAGTATCATGTGACTTTTGAAGATCTAATTTTGAAGTTAATTTTAAGGGGGTTGCATTATACACGAATTATGAAATTAGCGCATATACTGCTGGCTCTGGTTACGCCGTTGACTAAAATATATTTAATGTAGTCAAATTAGCTTCAAAGTTAGGTCTTCAAACGTTGCATGATACGCGAATATATATTTTTCTCTTTTCTCAATTTTTTATTCAATTTATAAGCTAATTGTCTTTCATATTTATCATATCTATCCACCCACATTAGAGGAATGAATTTATCTAATATATAAAGCTCAAGTTTTATGCGTACTCTTTTTAAAACTTGAAAATTAACTAAATTTATAAATTTAGTTATGTGTGTAAAATTGTCATCCCGAATAAATGCAGTTTAATTAATATGTTTCGTATGTCTTGTCCAACTCAGCAGTTCTAACTCATTTAAGCAATTTTAAAAAATACCTCTTTTATTATTCATTTCTAATCTGGACTTTTGTGACTTTTATAAATAAACGATTGCGTTGTTGATGCCATTTTAGATTGTAAAATTATTCAAATAAAATTAAAATGGTAACCACATGAGTATTTAGGTCGCAGCTTGCGAATAAAGGACGTAATCCATAAAGGGAAGTACGCAAAGTTGACATTTTAATATAATTTAAACAGTATTATCTTGTATTATTTTACAAATTTAACAAATAAATTATAACAATATCACATAACATATATGAAATAAACGACATACAAAATGTTTCAACTTATCGATCTGCTTTAATTATGGCAATTTTTGTAATAACATTTTTGAGCATACGCAAATCTCTCAAAGAAAAATAAAAGACTGTGTATCGCAGTGATGTAAAGAAAATGGACTTGGTCCGGTCAACAACGAGTATTATAGTTTATTTTCATAGGATGATTGCTAAATTATTCCAATATACTCTCATTCAATAAATATAGGCATACATTCTCATACATAGACGAAAGACAGTAGTAGTTGTAGGAGGAGTAACTTAAGGAGTTAGACACAGTCCTATCATATCACATATATGTTCAACAGGGGAAATATATGGAAAATGCACCGGCCAATGTAGTTGTCGAAAATCTTAAAGAGCATATTGAGAGGACTGACATCATGTCAGACATTATCCTATGAAAATAACATCTTAATACTGTTGCAGGAATGGTAATAGAATTAGTTAAATTTCCTGGGAATTTTCCACGTTCTCTCTGCAAGTACTACGGGTACGTCAGAGTTGTTACTTATGACACACAACGCCCTAATGCCAGGTGTGGTGCCTGTGTTTAGTGGTTGGTTGCGCGCTCTGAAAGATGTCGCTCCCCGTGTCTATTTCGGGGATACACTAGCATAAAGACAGAATATATTCGCATCACTAAACACTGCAGAGTGCCATTTCATGTCTCAAGTGATAATCTTGCAACACCACTGGCTGTGTGTTCTTTGGCGTAAATAAAAGTCTGGCTAGATGCACGTGTGTTCGCCGTCCTGTGGCAAGTAAATGAATCCGAACGTTTGTTTACACTCTTGAGGGCCACATTTGATACGACGTGGCCGTCCAGAACCTGGCCTATGTGTTTAGTAACGTTTATCTGAACATTGTTGCCAACATCGAAACATTAGCGACGTGTTACTTCCAACATGGCCAGCAATTTTTTAAAAAATAACCACCCAGCCTCTATAAGTACCGCAATCCGATTCCATTTAAAATACACCATTCGAACAAATAGAGCATTGCTACTTTCAACTATCATAAATCTTATCGTAGAATGTGTCACCGTCTAAAGCTCAGACATAGACGACGCACAAGCAAGAGTTCTATTACGTCACATGATGGATGGTAAACTTAAAATTCTTGATCAGAATACCTACTAAACCTAACCTGCACATATTGTACCCGGATCAAAATTGACGTCGTTATTCAGGTTGTTGCAATTTAATTTTCCCTCGGTGGATATATATATGAACAGATAGATAGATAGATATGAACCGACTAAAAGAGATTAAATTAACATATCTTTTAATTACAGATCTGGAGAGGTTCTGCCAGTGACTGCAGGAAGCGGGAATATATTTCTTGCTGAGGTTGACTGTAAAGGAACTGAAGAATCGATCGTCGATTGTACACATAACAAATTTCAACAAAATAATTGCACACACAAATCAGATGTCGGTGTCAAATGCGAAGGAAGCGCCGATGAAATCAACAGTAACTGTGAGTTATTTCAATGCTGTGATAATCAAGTAAAATTGTCTATGTTTCAATGATTAATAAAAAGACATATATCAATTTATTTCGCGGGAAAAGAGTTTTCTCAGCATTTAATATTACTACCACTATTATTCCTACTGCTACTAAAACAACAACAACAGAAATAATAATAATAATAAATATAATTATACGCAATATTATATACTAACATATAATTTCATATTGCTAGTGATTCTGGAGCTCATTACGAGTTTCTCTGGAGATAAATGCAATAATCGAGTATTCTTCTAAAATGTTTTCTTGATTTTATTAATTATGTCATCTAATGCTGTTACTCAATGGCTGTTCAAATTTCCAGTCATTTTATGACATTATTATTATTAATATTATTATTATCTCCCTGATCAGCTTTCAGGCCAGTCTTAACTGATGGCTCATACAGTGGCTCAAGTGTTGATACGTTTTCTTAATATGCCAGCACCTCCCCTTAATATTGATATTTATTTTATTAATGTAATCATTATTATGTTGGTATATCACACTGATGTAATCAATGAAAAATCTGTTCTTGAAGTGTCTTTTTGGCATCCTGCCAATAAGACACTTCACAACTCAAGATCTTTTCGGAGAATCCTTGCAGAGTAAATGATAGTAATTGTGAAGTCTGCTATGTTGGTCTCAGTTCCAATTCTCCTTAGGAACTTTTTCAGTTTTCTAGGTAGACACACTGTGTGTCCATTACTTTCGAAATTAATTCCATATTTATGTATCATAGCTTTTTCATTTACTTTGGAATCGATTCTTTTATCGCATTTTCAACTCAAGCAATATGATCTTATCGGAGAATAAGATATTATTGATACCACTTGAGTTCCTGTGCTGTTTTTACTCTTCAGCAAGTAATGGCTGAGTCTCTAAATGAACATAAATCTCCTCTGCCATATCTGCCCTCAATTTCCAAACTAATAGTAGGTATGTCATTGGTCGATAGTTACTTACTTGTCTCCCTTTGTTTTTCTCTTTCTGCATTAGTACTGTCCAACAGTCACCCACCCTGGATCATTACTATTACTATTGTCCACATAGTTGTGTAAGTTTTCTCTTAGATTTTCATACATACTTTGGATCCTTTAAAAATCAATAACCTTAATGAAGATCGGGGTTTTTTCTTTGCTATGTTTCTTATCATTTTCATTATATTTTTATTTGATATAACAATTAATTTCTGCTTCCTCTCTTGATACAAGTAATTCGTTGTAGCCCTTCTACATCTTTTCTGTGTTCTTTCTTCTTTCTCTAAATATTCTTACAAAATTCCTGTGCTTCATTTGGATCCGGCACCACACACTCCACAGTAGTTCCACCATGTTTTAAAAGGCTTGTCTTGGCTCTTGAAAAATGTCGTACAATTATGGAACTGACTGATTCTGTTACTCTTTGCTTTAATCTTTTGTTGCATTTCTTCTCTCACAATAGTTAGTCACTTTCTCTTCCGTTTTTCGGCTTTCTGATGTATTACCGTGCTTCTTTTTAACAGTTTTCTATTCTAACAAGGTTTTTTTCTTTTCTAGACAAGATCCTGAATCAGCTGTTTAACGCCTTTCCACTTTGTACCCTTCTGCTTCCCAGATTTATTTTTACTAATATTTACCCTATACAAGATCCAAAAGTCATTCAAGATAGTGAGTTACTAAAGGAGATTTTTGTGTGAGTGGAATAGTAAGAGGTAAGAAGCAGTTTATGAGGACATGTGGTTAACGCTACACTTGAGGTTAAGATTGTAATGGCCCGGGAAGCATCTTCTTGAATGTTGGTTCTACAAAGTAACGGTTCGTGGTAAGAAGCTGTTTGGGTGAAACTTCTCGCTAATGGAATACGATGGAAATGTGAGTGGCTCTCTACGGTGCGCGTTGCATGGCGAGACTTGGCTGTGAAGACTAGATCTGGTGGAGCTAAGGAATGTAAGCTTGTCAAAACCTTTCCATGGAAATTTGCTTCTGAGAATTTGGTTAGAAACAGAACTCCCGATATCCAAGTCGTTTGCTTTCTACGTTGACCTGGACTGCTTGTGCATAGCTACACTTTTAGTTTTCTAGGACTCTATTGCAATGATTGCAGACAATTTTGAATGTAGTAAGTTTCCTACTACACCGTTCTCTGTGATAAATATTGTAGCCGTTGTTACGATGCAGCACAAACCAGGGTGAACCGGGCTGGCTATTCGGTTTTTATTGGAATTTTTTCTAGGGTACATAAATTTCCATGCTATAGATTAATTTAGGGTCGGTAGTTCTGGAAGCTCTATATTTGAAGGATGATGAAAGAGGATGTTCCACCATGTAAGCTTTGAAGCTGTTCCAGTCAGCTTTTGTGTATCGAAAAATCGTTCGATGAAACAGCACATTCGAGGATGTTTTTAGTTTCGCATAAAAAAAAATTGACTAGTGATTGATCTGAAGTGACCATAGGGAGGTAACACTTCAGCAGGGCAGAATGTGAGGAACAGTTTTAGGAGGCTTGTCTTGTTTTATCGGGAATGTGTGTGGGATTATCGACTGTGTCAGCTCTTAAGCAATGGAGAAGTCTCGACAGTACCTGCCTTCTTCATCAGTTTTGTTTGAGTGGACTTCATTTCTATGAGCTTTATACTGAACCAATATAAATTAAATCATTGATCACTAATATCAGACATCTGTACCTTCTGCATGATCTCACCAACTCTTTTCGCTGTGATCTGGATTCTAAATTTCTTAACTCCTCGCAATGCCAGTAGCCGTTCTTTATTACGATGCATGAAAATTTCTTTCTGTTTTTCAAATATCTCACTTTCATTATCTTCAAGATTTCATTTCCTTTCAACCTCAAGCCACCTTAACCAACATCAGCTTAAAATATTTGTGCTGTTGTTGGCATGCTTCACTTCATTGACACTGATACCTTGTATAAAAATATGACAATCTCTCAAGTAAGCACCCTCTCCATCTTCATGAAATCCAAGAAAACAATCCTCTTATCCGGACAAGTTAAAATCATTCCTTTCAATGGGTTTCTTTTTCTCCATTTCAACATTTCCTCTTAATGTCTTCCAATCCCACTCGAGATAACCATTTTTAAACAATATTCCACTTTTGATCTTGCTGTCTTACAATGTATATCTTTCTTTCCAGATCATATACACTCTTTATCTTTATCTTGTTACTTGTTTCACTCCAATCTCAGTTCTGTTTACAGTTTGAAAGCACTTTTTCTTCTCAAACCAGAATGAGTACGTTGACTTCCGAACCCATCCTGCTGAGCGATGGAACATAGTATGAGCGAGATACATTAGTTCTAGTATCATTCACATTGTTATTTTCAATGTTTTGATTGATCATTTCATTCTTAATATGAAGGTTAGTAAATTTAAAGTTACACCACCACCAGTAGTTTTAACGAGATACCATCTCTAGGAGGGCCGTCGGTTAAAGATAAAGAGCCCCTACTGCCAATGAGACATGGTTTTACTACACCAGACGGTGAGTTATTATGGTAATAAAATAACCCGACACCGCTTGTAACCATCCATCACAATAAAACAAACATTTTTTTTCAAGGCTAAAGCTGAATTGGTCAAATAAAGCTTCATAAGCTTAAAGTTGTTGCGATATTATTTGTTATTATTACTCTCCATAATGCTGCTATTTATTCTATTAATATAGTTATAAAGATGCTCTTGATTCTTTATCAGATTTCATAGTTTTTCAAAATGTTGATGATATTATCCTTATTATTAATAATATCTCCTTGATCAGCTTTCGCACCAGTCTTAACTGATGACTCACACAGAAGCTCAAGTGCTGGCATGTCTGCTTAATTCTCCAGCACTGTCCTTAATGCTTCTATTTATTTTATTAATATATTTCACCAAATGCAAGGTCCAAGAGCCACACAAGATAGAGAGATTGCTGTTAAGGAGTGGTGAAGGACGAATTAAGTAATGCACATTAGATTGAAAACAATTTTGCGACAAGATACTTGAAAGCAGTTATAGGGATTTTGTCTGGAAGTTCGCCTTCATAGAGTCAATGCTTTTGATAAGTCTGGTAACCGCAGGAGCTGCTGTAGTAAATTCTCTGTGAGGCGGGGAAAGTCAACTAAATAATTGTTTTTGTCGTCTAACGTCGAGTCGGAGGCAAAGTTCATGGTAAAGGGCTTAATTTTATCTTCCAAGATAACCTGTGACATTTATAATGGAGGACACTAAGAGTTTGCCTGTACTTAGTATTGCGATTACGATTTTCCAGATTTTGGCAGGATCCTTTTTTTTTCTTTTTTTTTTTTTTTTGTTTTGCACTTTCTGTGGATAGCTGCTCTTTGTATTTTCCAGAACTTTTTTGCGGTAACTGTGCTCATTTATAAATGAGGCAAGGGTTCAGCAACTCTATTCTCGCTAATAGAAACGGTAGTAGTGATTTCGGTGAGCCATGTCCCTGGCACATAAAGGCAAGAGCCAGGCTGGCTATTTGACTTTAGCTGATATTTCTCGTGGGGCATAAAGCCTTCGATGACAGAAAGAACATACTTGGAAATGAGGTAGGCTGTCCTCGAACACCCGTTTTTGAAGAAAGTTGAGAGAGGTTCTTCGGCAATGTAGAATTTGTAGGATTTGAAGCTGCCCCAATCAGCTTTGTTATATCAACAGATTGTCCTATGAAACGGCACTTCTGAGGCGAATTTTGGTTTTGCATCACCTTTGACATAGATAAAATGACCCGTGGTAATCAAGAGAGGTAACATCTCTGTGGAACATTGACCAGGGCATGAGGTGAAGAACAAGTCTAATAGGTTAGTCTGGTGTCCAACTGTATCTAAAACATGAGTAAGTTATAGAGAATTCATAAAAGTATTCACTCTCATTCTGTTTGAGTGAACTTGCCAATCCTTAGGGTGATTTTGAAATCGCCACCAATGTGAATGCTATCAGGCTTCCCTATTCTGTCAAACATTGCAATACCATCACTCTGGGGGTGATAAACAATGGAGACGAAGGTCGCCCAAAAGCATATGTGTGGGAAGTCAGAATGCTCGTTTTGGGAATCAAAATATAATTTCTCCGCAAATATGAAAAAAATTCTTAATATGGTTGCTTATATATATATATATATATATATATATATATATATATAACGAACATGAAGTCAACATAGAGGCGACAGTCTGTTTCATGCTAGATGCAATCGTCAGGCCTGACGATTGCATCTAGCATGAAACAGTCTGTCACCTCTAAGTGTTGACTTCTATGTTCACTTTTATATTTACACACGCTCTATCTCTGATATTGAGTACTTTATCCCATAAATATAACATCTTAAGACTATATTTCTTCATATATATATATATATATATATATATATATATATAATGTGTGTGTGTGTGTGCGCGCGTGTGTGTGTAAAAATAGTCAGCGTGACAACCTGACCTATGCATATATATTTTTAGGATGAATTCTTTAACGAGATATTCATAAGCATGGCCGAATATTCAGTTCGACTGATAAAATAAGACAATTAATTAAAATAGTTCTGTACTATTTCATAATGTTAATGCTTACACTGTATCCTATTTTTAGCTGTCGATAATTGCAATTTTCAATATGAAAAGTGTGGCTACAGCATTTGGGCCAATTCCTCATTCACATGGGTTCGAAAAAGAGGACCTTCACCATCAAGTTCGACCGGACCTACTACTGACCACACATACGGCAACACATATGGTGAGATTTTCTCTTATTTGCAAATTTATTTTGTTAATTGAACATTTTTTGTTTGCTTGGTTGTTTTTTGGTTTTGGGGTTTTTTTTTTTCAAGTATTACATTTAATCAATGTATATTATCCTTTTGTGAATGTAGAATCGGGGATGAAATTCAAAAGCAGTCTCACCAATATGATTGTTTCGGCCACAAACATTGCAACAAGCAGGTGGGCTATGTTTGAACCGTCACAAGTAACGGGGAAGAAAATAAGTTGTATAGTTGAAAATGTGCTTATAAATTTGGCAACGTAGTTTATAATAGACACCCATTTATCTCATGAGATAAAGGGAAAGCTCTGGTCAAAATTTAGTCATTTAGTGGTGTCACTGGAGTGACCAGGCTTGGGCAATTGTGTATGGAAGCTGTGCACTGCTAAGACTTCCTGGCCCTCCACTCGGTCTTACCGACAAGATACAAAGGAATACTGGGCATTACATTTAGGATCAACTTGGCTGCAGGAGTTACCGAAAAGTTGTCAGTGTTGACAGACAATCGCTGCCAAGGCTCCATTCCGGGTTTTCTATCTGGATTTACTTCCATAGACTTAAAATCAGGGTTATCCGTAACCCAGATTGATTGCCTTCCTGGGCTGCTGATCTACCTAAAATAAGCTGGTTATGAGACACCAGTTGTCCGACTTTGCCCATTTTCCAGCTTGGAGCTGGACTTACTTGTCAGAGGTTATTTGAGATGCATGCCACTGAATTATTTTATAGACAGTGAGAGCTTGTTCCCATTATTACCCTCGTTCTGAAGGAGAGATGACACGTTTTGTTGAGACTCCAAAAAAATGGGAAAAAAGTAAATATTATTTAAAAGTAATATAATAAAGCAATATAATTTACACAGTATTAAGTTTATTTATTATATATTTTATGATTATTTTTATTTGAAATTATATATGTATTGTTTAGTATTATATTCTTTCAACGTTTTCCACAGTTGCCGAGTTTTTCTGTATTATTATTTATTTATTTTTATGCAACTAAACTGAAGATCGTTTATCTTATTTTACATTCTATTTTTGCTTACCAAGAGTTATATCTATCAACTTTACATTATCTACTCTTGTTCGTTTTTTTAATCACTAGATAGTTTTAGTGTTATTATTGTCAAAAACGTTGTATAAATTATTTTATTGTTTGTTATAAATAATGATTTCATAATCTCAGAGTATTTTAGGCAACTTTTTCAGCTTGTCCCCATTTCTGGGTTAATCCTTTGTGTAATAACTTGCATAAGGGTGGGTTGAGGGTAGAATAGTGGTGATACTGTTTAGGTATTGTCGATAATAATTAACTCGCGCTAAATAGCTACGAAGATCTAACACATTCTTTGGGGTAGCAGCCTTGCGAATTGCGTTAACTTTTTCCATTATTAAATGGATTCCTTCTGAATCTATCTTGCAGCTAAGTCATGGAATCGAAGTCTTCAAGAACCCACTCCTGATACCTTTCAGAAGGAGACCTGCGTCCCGTAAACTCTTTAAAGCTAGCGACATATTACTATCATGTTCTTTTATAGAAAGTTTCAGAGATTAAAATGTCGTCTATATAAGGGACTTCCCTTGGTATCCCTTGTATTAACAGGTCAATCGTGCGCTGAAATATTCCCGGTGAAGATGCAATATCAAAACATCGGAATGTACCGGAAAATAGCTATATGCGTATTTATAGTGGTTGTAAATATGCATCGCTCAAGTCTAACCTTGCAATATAATGTCTAGCAGAGACTTTAGAATACAAGTCGTCTATGATTGAAATGAGGTATTTATCTACCTGTAAAACAGTATTAACTGTTTAATTAAAGTTACCGCAAATCCGAATTTAGCCATTTTTTAAATACTGGCACAATAGGGAGGTTCATTCTGAAAAAGATACTGGTTTGCTAACCGAAGTAGCAATCATTCGTGCTAGTTCCACCTCCACCTTTCCCCGAAGCGTTGTGCTTTCATAAATTGAGAGGTGTGGCTAGATTTTATGTAAAGTTTTGCCTTCGTGTCTCTCAAAGTGCTCAAACAATGGCTGAAAAAATTCCCAATCAGTTCACTTAATTTGGCTGCATGTGACCAGTGGGCCAGTTGGCAATTTTTTGAGTTAATCTCGTCCTAAAAGGTTAGGTCCCGACTTAGTACTACCAAGACATTTAGGGCATAACTTTCTTCCTATATTGTCCGTCTACCTTAACCGTCCTCTTCGGTAAAATGATTCCACTTGAATACGTACACAACTTTTGTATTGATTCTCCTCTTGACAAAACGGTGTTAGGTAGTTTGAGAAATTTCTTTTCACTTATTAGAAATAGTTAACACCCAGTATCAATTTCCATATAAGACAAGTTACTCCATTTATTTTAAGATTACACTTCTACGGCTCTGGTATAATGTACTATGTTCGATATAACGGTATATCCACTTTATAATTGTGTATGGGATAAGACTGGTTGTCGCATCGTGAGTTGTCTCGAAAAGGGATTCTTATTTTGTCACTTAAAGCAATTATTCCCCAAGCAGGGCATTCTCCCAGTGTCTTTTATCGCCATAAGCCGAACACACCTTTGTTGCATTTTTATTTCCTCCAGAAAAATTCTCAGATTTTGTTCATGTTGTCCATAGTTTCATTCTGTATCTGTAGATCATCTGCAGTTGTTAATTTCATTCCTCTATACAACTTGAAAGCTTTCTCTAATAACATGTTTTTGGACAATAAAGGTTTAAGTATATTTTCATACCTCAGACCACACACGAAATTATTTCGAATGGCTCTTTCTAAAAATGAACTGAATTCACACGGAGATGACAACAGTTTTCACTGAATCTTTCTGTCATATCGTAAAACCTGTAACTTTCTGCTACAACGAAGTGTTTAAGTTTAAAATGTCCCAAAAGTAATTGTTTTATTCCTTCATACGAAATGTCAGTTTACTTCTGTGGAGAACATAAATCCTCTAATGCACCATAAGTTTTTCCTGCAATGGCCCCAATTGACTTACATTTAGTTAGATTGAATGTCATTACCTATTAAAAAAATTGTTTCAAGCGGTTCAAATGCGAAGAAATAATTCCTCCAAACGTCCCATTGTTGTCATATTTTGAAAATAAAAAATCTTTCTCGGTGCCAAATGTAGTATCTTACGAGACCACACGTCTACCGAACTTCCCCACACGCATTGTTGGTTATATTTGTGGTTAACCAATATAGCGGAACCATCTCAATAACATCGGGGGCACTTCTAGCTACCCAACCGGCTTAGTTACGATATATATATATATATATATATATATATATATATATATATATATATATATATACGAGTGGTTATCAAAAGGTACAAAAAGGGACTGATGCTATAAAAAAGAAAACTACAACTCATATCAAATCGGCATTTGATCTCTGTAGAATCCTCTTCTGAACTCAGATATTTAATCATCGTTGTTTCGATTGATAGAAGTATTCTCGGAACTCCTTTTGGGGGATAGCGAACAACTGCTTCGTCGGATTCTAGTGGATTTTCTAGACGTCTTGAAATCGTATTCCATTCAAGATTTGATTTTTAGAAAGAGGAAAAGGTCGCAAGATGGTAGATCTAGGGAATATGGTGGCTGCGGAATGTTGTCCATGGTTAAATGCTGCCGCACAAGCGGCGCTGAAAGGGCAGACATGTTGCAATTATGAGTTGTCACTCATCAGAACGCATGTACTTTTCTGACGAACAGTATCCGGCAAACGCCGCAACACATACTTCTTGTCTACTGTCGGACCAGGTGGAACATACTCATAATGAACAATGCTCTTGCAGTCGAAGAAAGCCGTTAAGAGTGTCTTCACTTTGCTTCGAGTCATTCGTGATTTCTTCGGTCTCGGAGAGGTTGGGGTCTTCCACTTCGAAGATTTGGTTTCGTCACTTTGTATGACTGTTTTCAAATAGTTTTCGATGGTGTGGTAAGATGACCACACTCTAAACACTTTCCTTCCAAGCTCTGCTATACACAACGGTAGCGAGGACGTTATAACTTTGCTTGCATGCACGATAGACTTGAAGGACAATCTGAGCAAGACTTTCTCTCAGTTACCATAGCAACAGTCCCGATAGTTTTTGATCAATATATATATATATATATATATATATATATATATACTAGAATAATTCTAAGGAGCCAGGCAAACCTACCTAGGTTTCACCTAAACGGATCTTCAGGGTAAAACTGGCAATATTTATTTCTGTTAAAATACAGAAAATGTGGCTCAAGGGGAAAAGGACGGTCTTCATCTGTTTTAACTTTAAACTTAGCCACAAACACTGACCCAAACACACAGACAATATTCCTGACACCAAAACAACATACTCTTACTTAACTTTCTTATTACATCCACCAAAATATCTCATTGACTCAATGAAAATCCTAAATAGTCCTAATAGTCCCATTATGCACAAGGCGTCATCTGTGGGGGGAAGGGGAATAAAACAACAAGTTAAAAAATCCCCAGTGAGTATGTACAATAGGAATATAATCTATTTACAAGAAACTAAACAAAACCATGTTACTAGTACCCCCCCACAATCCTTAAAGGCGCCCTGCATCCACCAGAGAACTGACATCACTGACCACCTAACGAGGGAGTGGATGGGGAGTTAAACTAAAGCAAAATAGGGACAGAAATAAAAAGGACCAATGAGCAAACACACCCTAGCTAAGTTAACTTAAAAAAAGAAACTAAATATTCAATAATAAACCTAAACTAACCTAAAAATTCGGGATGGGTTGCCCAAGTTCAACCCAGGAAGAAAAAATCCTGATGCCTAATCGGCATCAAAATGCCACTCTATGTTAGCCCCTTCGGCACAAACGCGCAAGATGTGAATCTTGCGCGTTTGTTTACCTTTTGCCAAATTCTGATGAGATAGGCCGCCGCTTTTCCGTCCTAATCTTGACTTTAAACTGATGCTTAAAGAACAAGAC